GAGCTCTGCCATCCAGACAGTTCCTAATCCACCTCACTGTGCACTCATCTATCCCACACTTCAGGAGCTTGCCCAGGAGGATGTTGTGAGGGACGGTGTCTTAGGTAACAGTATCCAAGCAATATCGGTAATGTTTCTCTAATTCAAAAAATGGTATATAACATTGATTTAAAACATGCTCCAAGCAAAATCAACTCTAGTGTGCATGTTTGTTCTGAAATTTTTGAATACTTACATAGTCTAAGACAATTTATAGTCTTCCTAGTTTCAACCTTGGAATATAATGTGAAACATAAAAACCTGCAGAAGAATTGTTCATATAATGAAGTTAACATTCAAGATGAGCATTAGACCGACATTGTCTTTTGGTCAGTCAGAGGTTTCAGTCTTCTTAAGGTAAACTTTAGGTTGTTTCTTTACCTCAGGTGTGTGGGTTTTTTTTTTTTTTTTTTTGGCTTTGCTTTGTATTTTAAATAAAAGATATCTAATTGAGACAAGAGGATATTCGAATATTCTTGCAGGAATTATATACTGAAATGAGTTTTTAACCAAAGTTGTAGAGCCTGTCTATGAAGCTGGGGTTTCATACTGCAAACCACCTCTTTTAACAGATCCTTGCTGAAGAATTCGTAGGAAAAACAGGGAGCAGTTCTTTGAAGATAGAGCAAATAGCTTTGTTATTGTGCTGTATCCCAGGAAGTACAAGCCATGAGTTACTTTTCTTTAACAGTAAGTGATACAGTGATAATTAAGTTGTGTTAACTTATTATCTTAATCACACTTTGTTCAATAAGTAATCATACTGACAATTGTTTCCATGCTGTGACGTTTAGAACAGCAGTATGTCTGCCTTCGCTCAGTGTGTCTGTTCAAGGCCTTGATCATTTTTAAGGGAAAACGGAGAATTCAGAAGACGGAAAAGTGACATTTTCTTCTTAAAAGTTAAGAGTAAAAAAAAAAAAAAAGGGCAGAAATTATAAGGATGCTAATAAAACTTTGGTAGGAGCATGTGGAATATTTAACACTTCTTTTTTCTCCTGTAACTGATATACCAGTTTTCAATCAATATCTCTGCATGTGAGAATCAGATGCAGCATACTGCTCCCCCTCGCTCCCAAAGAAAACTCCATCCTCCACCAAAAATCTGTTACGTGAGCAATTCAGAATCCTCTGACGTGGTATAATTTGCTCAATCTGATACGCTCTTCATCTCTTTTTAAGAAGCCTCTGTGGTTTGTAGATGCCATACTGATCTGCTCCTGAACCTAGTGCAACTTATATTGGTACCAACTGGTTCTAATTCGGAGCTGGAATATGGGTGTCAAGTAAGTGTAGAGGATCTAGCCAGACTGCTGTAGCTTGTTGCCTCAGGCTATCATAAAAGCCACTTGGCAAAGTTCATTTGGTAGCTATTGTGCATCTACTGGTAAAGCTTTCCTATGGCAGCTATCAGTAGTATAACAAAAGATTGTCTCTTTTTCTCTTTTTCATTTTTTTTAAGTAAACATTTGTTCTCTTTTGGGTTTTTTTTTTTTTTTTGTCTTTATTTACTGGTTTGTTTTTGTTTTTTTTTTTCAGTAGTCTTTCTGCTCTGTCAGAGGTAACGTCTCACTCTGGTATCCCAGAAGCCATAGCTGCAAGCGGGCTATTTGAGATGACATACAACAGAAGATAAGCTGTAGCAGCTGATCCCTCAAAATAGAAGTTAAAGGTGTACAGAAACTGCATGAACCATAGAGCATTCTTACATTGTGAGTTCACACGTAGACAAGATGATTTCCTTATTGCCCTAAGGAAAAAGACTTGTTCCCCCTAACTTGCATTGCATAAACCTGCCTCCTGCATGCCAGCTCTGACACTTGTCAGACCTTGCCATGCGTTGACTTAACAAGCGAAACATTTCCATCTTTTTGCTGGAGTTCTGTTATGTTTCAGTGAGTTAAATGAGCTTACAGCAAGATCAAGCAGGTGCCGGTGCCGGAGCCAGCAGAAGGGAAGCGCCAGAGGCAGGGGGGCCGGGGGCGGGGCTGTGAGTGAGTCAGTCATTAAATCAGCTCATTGCCTCTTGAGGAGCTATAGCCTAGCAGCTCTTTTTGCCCATGTTCCCAGTGAGTGGCAACTCTGAGTGAGTTTCTGACAGGCTGTGTAGAAGAGACGAGACTTGCATCCTGCTCAGGACAGTCTCAGGTGTCATTTATATAAGGCAGCATGGACGCTCGCTGTCAGAGGCACTTTGAACAATTTGAAATAATTTTGTCAATGAATTCATTCACAGTTTTCCAATTCTTCAAATATAAGGAAGAAATTTAGTACTGTTTTATAGATACTTACCAACATCGTTTTAAACAGTGAAAATATTTCTTGTGCTCTTTATGATTTTTTTGAAATGGGGATGGTGATTGTCTTGTAAGTAGGTGGGGGTATCTGCTAAAATTGGCTCCTGTTGTTTCAAGGAAAAAGGTCAGTTGTTCAAAATTTGTATTTATGAAGGGGACTTAAACTCCAGGATCAAATATATGATGCAACTGCTGGGTTTTCAGTAAATCATTAAAGATTTCTATTTCAGTTTCATGTGGGTGAAGTATGAGCAGCATGTCTTTTAAGTATTCATTTGGTAATGAATATCAGGTACCCAAATAGTATGCTATGGGTTTTCTGAAGGAAATCCAATATGTAATTTGTTGAAGAGCATTAAATGCATTAATCTATATTAAGCATGTAGATCTTTGTACATATTTATTAAACCAACCCTTTGAGTAACAACAGATCAAGATTTCCAAAGCATCTAGGCAATTTAAATACATATTCTTTGCCAGTTGAGTGAAAAGTGGAGTGAATCACTAAGATCTATTTAAATGTCCCCATCTGAGTGTTAATGGCTCTATAATTGCATAAAGACTGCATGCAGTCAGCAGCTAATAAAATTTGTGGGTGACTCATGATGTCCGATAGTTCCTATATCAATAGGAAGACAAACAAGAAGGTAAAAGATTTTCTTAATGGTGTACCCTGGTGTCATGGAGAACTCTTGGAAAAAAAAGTAGAACCATGAAAATGCACTGCTTAAATTCAAACAGACTGTTTTTAACGAGGAGGTGGCCTCCACCAAGACTGTAGGGAGAAAAGCTAATGAAAATGGAGGACCTGAAATACTGTCCTTCTTTAGGGATTTCTGCTTTTTCACGCTGTTTTAATGCGTGATTACTGACCTTTGTGCTGGGAAATCTGTCTGTGTAAATTACAGTCCTGTCTGAAAGCTGTTAACCAAGTAATACCTGCAATTATTCTAACTGTGAAAATTAACGGAAGGCTGTTGGGTTGTTTTGAT